GCTACTTACACTAGAATTTCTATTTACGTAAAAACTTATCGTCTGACATGAAATGTATTTTACTACTTATTTTAAAATGACAAATACTAATCAATTTATTGTCTAACTGAAACTGGTACTAACTAAAACTGAAAACTAAATATCCTGTCTGACTAAAATCGGCGTTTACTACTGTCACAAAAATTTAAATAAAAAAAAAACTGTTATATTTGAAAATATTTGTCTTACTATATGGATTTCAAAATTACTCATAGCACAAAAATTATGTCTTAATGAAACTGTCTTTTTCTACTGATATCTATATTTTTAAATTTTTTCATTCTTTCTACTATCATGTCATAAATTATATAAAATTATAATTAAATATTGTATATAATATTATACTCAATTATATAAATTATTGCATATATTCTTTATTTCGAACTAAAAAACAGGGTATTAATAATTTTTTATCCTAATCAGAGTGTTGATAAAAATTGAATATCAAGAACTTAATTTAAATATAAAGTGTATATTTGTTATTTATTATTATTATTATTATAGTTTTGCAACGAAATTAGGAATTACATTTCACAATTTATAAGAGCTTTTAAACTGAATTACAAATCAGAAACTTGTACATCTGAGAGTATAATCAGAACTCCTTTGCATTCTGCCGTCTCGTGATAAATTTTACCGAGAAGTTTTCCAAACCCTTGTCACTGCAGATGAACTTACTTTTATATATATATATATAGGTACCTTCATAATATCATTGTTATGCGGCATGACACCAATATTATTAAAAAAAAAAAAAATAAATAAAAAACTTTTCCATCGTTCATTCAGTTAGTCGGTTGAAAATATTCATTAAGTCTTTAAAATCTCAAAAGTTTTCTCTTTTTATGTGAAGAACGTTAAAATTTACCCTTGATTCAATTTTATTTTATTATAAAAAAAAAATTATTCAAATTTTTATTTTTTATAATTAAAAAAAATTGTAGTTTGTTTTAAATACAATTTTTACCTAAAATAAGGTTTGAAAAAAATATGTGTTATAAAAATAGAAAAAAATAAAGAAAAATTTTTTTTGTTATGAAAGGTTTAGATGAAAATATGAACATATTATGATTCGTTCTTTACTATAAGGGGTCGATTGAATGTGTCTGGTATAATATAAAATACGCAATGCGTATATAGAATATCACCCCTTTTCAACTTGTCTGGCAACTCAGTGAAACTAGGTCACACTAGGAAAAATATAACGATTTGAAAAAAAAGTCTGTTCTTAAAATCACATATATTCACCCTTGTGAAATAAATTCAAAAAATTATTCTCCCTTTTTTCAAACTTATTATTGAATTTTACGAAAAAATAATAATATAAAAATTTCTTGTAATATATATTTTTATATTTATATTTTTATTTATTTATAAATAATAATTCTAAAAATTTATATTTCTAATTTGAAAAAATTTTCTTTATTGCAGGTTAATGATGCGAAAAAGTTTTAAAAGAAATTTTTATCATAAAAAAAACTATATATTTTAAATATTGAATTTTATAATTTAAATAAAAAAGAAAATAAATATTTCACGTGAATTTTTTTTTTTTATATAAAAGTATTTATTCTCATATCTAAAATGATTATAAAATTATAACTGATGGGAAACAGAATTGACACACGAGGAACTGTTCTCGTTTCACGATTCTCCATTTATAAAATCCTCACAACCCTCAAATCGATATTCTCTATAGTATATAACGTAATTCTAAAAGTTGTCATTTTTAATGACTGATTGGCGAAAGTTGATATTATTTTTCCTTTATATTCTCCAATTCTAAATTTAAAAAAAAAAAAAAATTTAACAATAATTTTAAGTGAATGTATTGTAGTTAAATTTTACAATGAAAAAAAAAATTCCCCAAAAAAAGAGAAACGAAAATATTAAAATTTGGACTAATAAACACTGATACAATTTAAGTTTAAATTTTTACTAATGTATACATATGTATAAACATACATATATAAATCTGAAAATCGATGTACTCGTTCATTCTAACCACGTATGAGGTACATCGTACAACCGACCTTTATTTTACAACAGAGAGTATCATTTATATGTGATAGATGAAAGTGTAACCTTTAATAAAAAAGAAGAGTACTTTCTGTTCAGAATATTAATGAAAAAGTAGAATTACAAATGTTTTTTTCAGAAAAAAATTTACTTTTATACTAGTTTTTATTTTTTTTTTAATACTTAATATATTTAGAAAAAAAAAATTTTAATTTAATATTTTTTCGTTATATTAAAATTTTAATACTACTTTCGGAAAAAAGTTATTGAATTTCAATAGTGGTTAAAGTAGATATAATTTTTTTTTTTTTTTTTTTTATGAAGAGAGCACATCAACTCATCATTCTTTGGAAAAAAAATTCGTATCATATTTTTTATGTACGCTATAAACCAATCGCATATATGTATGTACATAAGATAATCAGTAAAGTGACTAAAAGTTCGACCATGTTCGAAATTTGTATTCTGAAGCGAGTACGCAACCTATTTGAAACGACGTCGATAAAATGTCAAAAAGTTTCTCGCGCGCACAGTGTTTATGGGTCCTTGGAAACCAAGAAAGGTCTTTTTCCGGCCAAGTGAACATATCACGAACGTGCAATATATAGGTATATAATATCTTTATGACATAATAGATGAAAAAAAAAATTCCAAGTGAAAAAAAATATATATATATATTAATAAATAATTACAAAATTTCTATATATAAAAATATATTTTAAAAATATATTTTAAAAATATATTTTAAAAAATATATTTTGTTATAAATAAATTTTCTCTATTTTTTCAAATATTTAAATTTCATTAAATAAATATTATTACCAGCGAAGCTAAATAATATTATTGTGAGAACTATAAAAAAAAAAAGAAAAGTCTATAAAAAATACGATAGCAATGAAATAAAAAAAAAATGATAGTGAGAGAGATATAAATTTTCCCTCTGACTTTGCATATAATAATATTTTTCAACGAGAATGATATCATTATCGTTAACATTTGAACTGCGACAATTATGTAATTACGAATATAAAAAGCTAAATTATAGAATAAATATATATATATATATATATATATATATATATATATATATAATGAATCAAAAGTGAGAAAAAAAAAAATTCCAAAAATTGTTAATTTAAAATTCACAGGAAAATTGTAAAAAATTTATTTTTTAAATCAAAAGAAATATTTCCCATATAAATTGCAAATGAAAAGAAAATATTCTCAATTTGAGAATAAATTTTTATAACAACAATAAATCCCTGAATATAGAATTTATTATTAATATTAATTCTAAATTAATTAAAAATAAATTCTATATAAAGATAATAATTTTTTTATAAAGTTTCAAATATTTTTAATATGGAATTTATTCTTAAATTCAGTGTATGTATATATATATATATATATATATATTCTATTCTTAAAATGAGAATTAAATTAAAATTCTTTTAAAAATATATTATTTAAAATACATTCTTGAGGTATTTAGACTATATATTCTTAAATTTAGATAGTTTATTAAAAAATTCATCATTGCATACAAAAAAAAATTAAATTTTAAATAAATTAATTTAATAAAAATATTAAAAAAAAAAAAATTATATTAGACAAATTTTTAAATAGGCGCCAATAATCTCAATTTTTCAATTATTCTCGTTAAATTGCAAAAATATTTCTTTCAAATAATCGGTTACTTGACAATTAACAAATATTTACTTGACTATTAGGAGTTTTGTTGCGATGTTTGTTAACATTTTGAGTATCCGTAATAATATGGTATGAGTGTGGTTTATATTTATTGCTTGTTTAACAATTTTTATAGTGTGAATGTTTATTTTGTGTAATTTAAATTTTCTTTTTACATTTTATTTTTTGTTATCGTCTCGCAATCAGGACTTATTCCTTATTTTTGTATGGGCTACCATTGGCCTAATAAAGAATTATAATAATTTTTATTTGAATTAAATAAACTGTATTTAATATTAATATTAATATTAATAATAATAATAATAATAATAATAATTATAATTATAATAATAATAATTATTATTATTATTATAATAATAATAATAATAATAATTTCTGTAAACAAATACCATATTTAATTGACTCAAATAATAATTATTATATAAAAATAAAAATTATGAGCCAAAAGTTTTGAACGTTCAAATGAATAAAATATTTTTTTCAATCTACACTGAAAAAAAAATTTATTTGATTCAAATACCGGTGTATTTGATTATTATCAAATAAATATTTACTTGAATCAAATATTATTCTTATTTGAATCAAATAAATGGTATATTTGCTTTAAATACTGAAATATTTGATTCAAATATTATATATTTGATTCAAGTAAATATTTATTTGATAATAACCAAATATACCGGTATTTGAATCAAATAATTTTTTGTTTCCACTGTATATAAATTATTAAAAATTTTTAATATCAATGTAAAATAAAACAGTAAATTAAACTAATATTAAATTAATAACTTCTTTTTAGATATTTATAAAACAATATTTTGTAATAAAATTCGTATTTAAAGAAGTTACAAAAAAAAAATGTTCATTTGAACGTTGAAAATGTTTGGCTCATTAAATTTTTTTTTTGATAAAAAAGAAAAAATATTTATTTTTACCGATTATTGGAATTAAATCAATTTTCTTATGTTAATTATTTATGTGGAAAAAATGATTAAATTTTCAAAAAAAAACAATTTAATTAGAGAGAAAAATTATTAAATGCCTCGTGCAATTATAAAAAATCGGTCAAGTTCGATCATCGGCATCTTCCATCTCCGCAGTGCACACCTATATATATATATACGATAGTGTATATGATCAAGAAGCGTGCGCTCTTAGCAGCACAGTGAATAAACAAAAAAAATATAATTCAAAAAAAAAAAAAAAAAAAAAAAAAAAAAATGCAGACTTACAAGAATTCTTCCAGTGGTTGTTTGTCCAGAAATGAGTTCGCCGGCCCAATCTTTGGCCTCGGTCATAAAAGTGCCCTCGAACTCTTTATTCTGGCGTGCCGCCTTTTGCTCCTTTTGCTTGGGGTCATTTGGAGCGACCTCAGGCTCCTTTCGGCAGCAAAGAAAAGCAAATGCCCTCCAAAGAAGGACAATGAGCAGCCCCGCGAGAAATGTGAATATACTCGAGAGGACGAAACACCACCATTTCCTTACTTTTAGGCAGTCGTCAACCGGGGGCTGCTCGGTAGTCACGTCATACGTCATCCCGGTAGCAGAAATCTGCTGGCTGCCCCCGGGTCATACATTCACCGTCTCCACTTATCAGCCAACAGTCTACTACTCCTTTTACTATTCTTTATTCGCTTCATAATTCCTTATATATATATATAGGCGAGATGTCGAGAAAAAATATTAACGCACTTTTCAAATTAAAATCATTCGATAATGATTTTTTCCAAGGGGTTGGGGGGAGAAAAAGGGTTGGGGGAGAGAGGGGGGGTATTTTTTCTTGAAACACTACTCGATAACGTCACTCCACATTTTTTTTTTTAATTTTTTTTTTTGCCTTCTTTAACTCATCATTTTTCACTTCATTTTTTCTTTTTTCTAGTCATTCAAAAAACTGTCACATAATTTTTTATTTTCACTAATTCACTATTTTTGACACTCACGATTTTTTTTTGAATAATTTTTTTTTTAATGATCCTATGCTATTTGAATTTCTAGGAATTCTAAGAAAAACGATTTCTCGAATAAATTAGATTATGATCTTTCCTCTAATGATAATATTATTTTCTTTCTTCTTTGGAGAATAATTTTCACTTTGTATAACTTTTAACGTATATACTCTAAATTTCTTTTTTACTTTCGTAAGAATTTTTTTTTAGCCAAAAAAAATTATTTATTCAAATTTTTTTTAGGGTTTAATATAAAAATGATTTACATCAAAAATTTGTCAATGCAAATTAATTTAGGAAATTCACTACATATTTTTTCAATCTTATTTTCGTTAAATTTCTTTTTAATTTCTCTCATTTTTTTTTCCTTGGCACTGTTTTTATGTATCACCTTCTAATTCGTGGTTTTTTTTTTTCATTGAAAATTCTATAAATATCAAATTTCTTTTTTTCATTAACTATAACAGTTTATAATAATAATGTGCGAGATGAAAATTATTGTTGCTAGCCGCAATGTTCTCGTGGCCTAGTCATCCTGATGTCTATTTCCGGGTGGCACTTCCGGAGAACACTGGCGTCAATTATGAGGAGATGCGTCACCTCGAGATTCGGCACAAAACACATATGAGAAATTTTGTATATATCTATATATATGCGTCAAAATGTTTGTCCCGGGCAGAGGTTTGACCGAGAACATCAACGACGACGCGAACTGTTGAACAACGACTACAACGCGTTTTCATATAAATTCATATTGAATTGACGGCAACCGCCGCGCCGATCATCACCGAGGACGACTACGACGACGACGACGACGACGACGACAACCAAGTGTCCCGACGACCATCACCACCGCTCCGCAGCAATCAATACGCAACAATGGACCGGGACCAATAAGCTCGGAGCTTTTCCTGACGTAGACGCAAGCTCACTCCCTCTCTCTTCAATGTACTCTTGCTTTATTTTCAGTTTCTCTCTCCCTCTTTCTCCCACCATTTTTCTTTTTTGTATCTTTGTCTATTTTCTGGCCTAGTTATCAATATATCTATCTCACTTTAATATATACCACTCTGTCTTTTTCTACAAAATATATATTTGTCCCAAAAAACCACTACCAAAAAAAGAATTTTTTTTTTCGAAATAACAATAATAATCGATTTTTTGAAAATATAAATAAAAAAAAGAAGGTATTTCTGACGTCGCGCGGCGCCGGCGTCAGGTGAAACGATCATTCTGCGCTTGCACTAGGGCTTTTCATTGAATATGGACTTTGATGGGTTCAGATGATGAGTCATATATATATAGATGTGAAGGTTGAACGTGTAAATTGATGTCATCAATGGAAAACATGGTTTTAACATATATAATACATATATATATATAGAGATTATTTTTTATGAATTAAATCCATTATTATTTGGTGGGATAAGAAAAATTTTATTTTTAAGAGAAAGTGATGTCTTATTTTAAGTCAGGTTTATTATTTTTTTACTTTTATATACAACTGTTATAAAAAATTTTTAAATATTTTTAAATTAATAAATTTAACTTTTAATAAAAACTTAATTTAAGACAAAACTTCTTTTAAAGTATAATAAAAACTGAATTTTATAATATACAATTCAAATTTATAACAATATTAATTTTGCACACGGAGAGACCGCCGGTTAGAAAAATTACTAAAAAAATTTACAAGTAGCGGAAATAAGGTTATATTGTCAAATATTGCTGTAGGAAATCGAAAATTCTACTAGCAGCATACTTAATAAAACTGTAGACTATAGTAATTTCTATTCCAATTTGTGTGCAATTTTACTATAGTATACAGGTTTTATTAAGTATGCTGCTAATAGAATTTTCGATTTCCTACAGCAATATATGACAAAGTAACCTTATTTCCGCTACTTGTAAATCTTTTTAGTAATTTTTCCAACCGGCGGTCTCTCCGTGCAAAAAGCAAATTTCTGTTTTAAATTTATTTATTTTTATTTTTAAATACTAATTTAAATACTGGTAAAGAGAAGATCTTATTTTAAGACAAGAAATAAGTCTTATTTTTCAAGTTAATAAATTTTTAAAACAGGCTTCTTTGATATTTTTTACTAGACATTTTATACTGATATTGCGTATAAGCAAAATTGAATTTAAGACAAAACTTCTCTTAAATTAAGACTTAAAAGAAACTGAATTTTACACATACACTTAAATTAAGATTTATAAATATCTTATTTTTACGCTACTTTTGCATTTTTAAATTAAATCTATTTTTATTTTGAAAATTTATTTGAATTCTAGAAAAAATGTTATTTTAATAGAAATAACAAGTCTTATTTTAAGTCACTAAATTTTTAAGACAGGTATAAAAAAAAATATTTCAATAGAAAACCCATTTTTAAAAATATAAAAAATTAATTAATTGACTATCAAAGCAAAAATAACTTTTTTTTATTAAGTATTAAATAAAATAACAATAATAATAATAATATAATAATAATATTATAATAAAAACAAAAATAAAAACAATATAATAATAATAATAATAATAATAATAATAATAATAATATTATAATAAAAACAAAAATAAAAACAATATAATAATAATAATAATAATAATAATAATTTAATAAATATTAAATATTATTTTCTATTCACAATTTACATTATGTACATAATTTGTCATGCAAAACAATAGGATACGTAATATTTTATATAAGATTTTTGAATTCTAACCTAAAATATAATTTCTATTGTTTTTAAATCTATAATTAACATTGTTATAAATGAATAATCAATTTTTAAAGAGAAAAGAATTAAATAATTAGTCAATAATAGTGAACTACATGGCACAGTAGTTATGTGCGTTTTTGGTCAGACAAATTCGCAAAAATGGAAAACAATAAAATAACCATAAAATGATAGAAAATTCATTTCTTTATCATTATCAACTAATATTTATTCACAAATAAACATTTTTTTCACTATTTTCTCTTTAAAAAACTATAATTATTAAAAATATTACTATTTTATTCAATGTTTTTGAATTATACAATTTCAAATACATCCGCCATGTTACCAGCAGTATTACCACTATACAACATTTCAAAATATTTCAAATTTATCAAATATATTTGAATAATTTTTCATTTTAAAATTAATTATTAACATTAAATAAACTTAATTTAATGTACTTTAATTAAATTATTTAATTTTTTTGTTTTTGAATACTTACATTGAAAAATTAATTGAGAATAAAATGTAAAATCTTAGGTTGGCAGCGCTGTTACTACGTCCCAACTTATCAATGACATTCCATTTAATAGTAGTAGTGGTAGTACGTTGTGCGTATTAGTAATGAATGATATTGACAACATGAATTATTTTACTAGTTTCTATTGAAAAAAATATTAATTTTGACTGAAAACAAATGAAATTAACAATGTCAGAGGAAAAAGTAGAAAGGTACAACTATTTAAACAGTGACAAATAATTATTATCGCCATAGAATATTAATATTTTAGAAACAAACACTTTTTTTTTGAGGTTATGTTTCTGTCAAACATTTTAATAATTGTTAACGTTTATTTCTAGTTTAACAGAAGTTGTGCAAAATGAAACAATGGAAGTTGCAAATGATGTAAAAAAAGTCGAATCAGAGGAAAATAATAAAACTAAATTATCTGTTGATGAAAACAATGAAAAAACAAATGGTCGCGCTCTCACTGACACCGGGAATTGTTATTGGTAAAACATAATTTTTAATTTCTTACACTAATAAATACAAATTATCCCTAAATTTATCAAGTAAATTGAGAATATTGTTTATATTATAGAATTTTTTTTAATTTCTCATAATTTTGTCATTTAAAAATTATTTGTTTCAAATTACTATTGATGAAAAAAAAAAGTATCAATAGTTATAATTTTAAATAATTAATACTCTTTTAATTTTTATTTTCTATTTAATGTCTTTTTAAAGAAAATTATTAAATTCTTTTTTCTCTAGTGGCAAGGACCGTAATTTGAATATTGCCGAATTACTTTGTGCCAGTTGTGCAAGATGGTTTCACGAATCATGCATTGGTTATCAACTGGGAAAACTAGTGCCATTTATGTTGAATTATATATTTATGTGTAAAAATTGTTCACCAACTGGACTTGAAAGTTTTAAGAAAAATTTAGCGCGTAAGTTTTTAAAAGTTAATTATATAATTACAATTTATTAAATATCGAATTTTAACAAAATGCTCAAAAAAAATTGTTTTAGCTTTTCCACAAATGTGTGTTACGGCAATTGCGAATTTACTTCAAATTTGCCAAAAGGACAATGATCATAGAACTTTTTTTCACAAGGATAAAGATATAATTCCATTTATTGAATGCCATTGGGAAAGTATGACAACAATGCCACGAAGAGTTACACAATCTTGGCACGCAACGGTAAGTTTATTTATTTTTTTTTTTTTATTAAATATAATATTTTAAACATTTTGGAAAAATTTAGAGATAATTTTCGACATTACTTTAAGAAATTTACTTTAAAAATAGAGAAAAATAATTATTTTACTACAGTAGATAATAAAATGTATTATTTTGTTTCCAGATTCATAAAGCTCTGCTTAAGGATGTAGGAACACTATTTACAATGGATGAAAATAATACTGATGGACAATTGTTTGGTCTTATAACTCCAGATCTTTTACTCGTAAAACCAAATTATGAAGCTATGATTAAAGGTGGACAACTGAAAATAACTGAAATGGGTGTTGAGCACGTTGGTAAGACAAAAGACGAAATCATAACCGAATTTATTAGTCTGCAAAATATTTTTAGGCTTCTTTTTTTTTTAATTTTATTTAGTAATTCTGAATTTATATTTTATCGCTAATATATAGTACACATTATTATAAATCATATTTTATCTTATCGGAATAATGATCATGATGATGATGATAGCTAAAAGATAATTGCAACTTGGTTATCATCATTTAAAAATTATTAATCAATGTTTAAAGTAGGTACGTAATAAGTTTAAGAAATTGTGTAAAAATATTTTTGTTATATTGAGGTCTTATTTTTCGAAATTTTTCATTTATCAGTACCACTTACTGGAGGTATTCGGGGTCGCAATGCAAAGCGTAAAATTCCGGGTGAGGGCACGGGAACAGGACCAGGAAAAAAGGGAAGAGGTTCCGATATGGCAGCTCCAAAACTTCCAGCTCATGGTTATCCTCTCGAGCATCCTTTCAATAAAGATGGTTACAGATATATTTTGGCTGAACCCGATCCTCACGCACCATTCAGACAAGTGAACAATTTTAATTAATTTTAATCATAATTGTAAAATTTATATCATGAGTTTCATTAATTCTAATTTGAAAAATAAAAAATATTTTTCATCATTTACTTTTGTAATCAAATTATTAATTCATCAGGAATTTGATGAGAGTGCTGATTGGGCCGGAAAGCCAATTCCAGGATGGCTTTATAGATCCTTGAGTCCTAGTGCAGTTTTACTTGCATTACACGATCGAGCACCACAGCTGAGAGTTTCGGAAGATAGATTGGCTGTCACGGGAGATAAAGGATATTGTATGGTTAGAGCTACACATTGTAAGTAAATAATTACTGTGAATATTGATATAATTTAAAAAAAAATAATTTAAATATAAGATAATTTGTGCTAAATTTGTCAATTTGAATCTTAAGGTGTTAGTAGAGGAAAATGGTACTGGGAAGCAACTGTTGAAGAAATGCCAGAAGGATCAGCAACAAGACTAGGATGGGGACAGGAATATGCAAATTTACAAGCACCTCTTGGTTACGATAAATTTGGATATTGCTGGAGATCAAGGTAGATAATATTCGGAGACTATTTTTTTTTCTTGCAAGAAATTAATCAATTTTGCAGAAACAAATTAAATTAAATTAATATTAAAATGAAAGAAATTTTTTTTCTAATTGCAGAAAAGGTACACGTTTTCATGAAAGTAGAGGCAAACATTATAGTCAGGGATATGGTGAAGGAGATACATTAGGATTTTTGATAATTTTACCAGATACTTACGACAAATCACACATCCCAAATACTTACAAAGACCGAGTGAGTAGAATTTAAAACAAATATTTAATATTTTTAATAAATAATATCCAAAATATTTGAATGAATTTTCTTTTTAGCCTTTAGTTAAATTTAAAAGTCATCTTTATTATGAAGAGAAAGATCAAGTTCCCGAAGCACTAAAAGCTCTAAAACCACTTCCGTTGAGTAAAATTATTTTTTATAAAAATGGAATTTCTCAAGGAGAAGCTTTTTTGGATATTTACAAGGGTGCATATTTTCCAACAATTTCAATTCATAAGAGTGCAACGATTTCTGTTAATTTTGGACCAAATTTCAAATGTCCGCCCACTGATACTGCCTATAGAGGAGTATGTATACCTGTAATTGTTAATTTCAAAAAAAAAAAAAAATTATTGAAAAATTAATGATTTACCTTTTGTTTATAGTTGCATGAAAAAGCAGAAGAAGCAATTGCTGAACAATCCATGGCAGATATTCTCTATCTCACTGAAAATGAAGGCAGATTAAGACTGGATACATATACTTCTTGACATTAGTGCATCTTTTTTGTTTGGATACTTTTTATTAATTTAGTGACAATTGATTAAAGAATTGTCATTCAATTTTTTCTAGAATGAAATTAATTCTTAATTTAGTCTATTTTTTTGAATTGATATAAATTTAGCTTCATATTTTTCTAAACGTAAATTTAAAAATGACATTTTTTTTTGTCTGGATTAATTCTAACTGATAGAAGGAGATGACTTGAAAATTTTCATATTCGAAGAAAGTAACTGAAAGAAAAGGTATGTATAAAAAAAAATTTTTTTTGAGAATTTGATCAAAATATAATAATAATTGTATTAAGAATTTATGAAAACGTAAACTAAGAATATTTACATTATTTCATATTATCTGCATTGAATTTATTTTCCAAAACCGCCTCTACATTGTGGACTAGGCGAAATTGTCTTCGCATTATCTTCCCATTGGTCTGGAGTTTTTGCCTTAAAAAATAAGAAATTATTATTTTTTTTTATAAGACACGAGTAATTAATTTATCTCACTTACCACGATTGATAATGCATGAACTCCACTTGCAAGTTCTTCTTTTAAAATATCGTTTACCGTCCTGTGGCGCTAAATCAAAAAATTATTAATTAATTAACTAATTGACAATAAATTTAATGCAGAATGAAATGTATACCAATATAAGTCAATTTTTTACATAAATTTCTTAAATATTTTCAAACATTGAAAATAATTTACATGTAAAAGAAAAATTTTTGTAAACAATATACAATATCAATATATAATGAAGCTGAATGCCTAAAAAATTATAAAATTTTGTCTTATTGAATCTTACCTTAATTAAAGTTTGATCATTGAATTTATCAGACACAACTAAAACTTTGAAATGAGTTTCCGATCCTTTTGGTACATTATGCATATAAGATTCATTTAAAATTTCCAAGTGTTTTGGATTTAAAGCATCTTGTAATTTTTTCCTTATTGACAATTCTGTTGGTTTCTCTTCTCCTGAATTGACCATTGTTCGAAGAAACAATCTTACATTGAACCCTGAAATCATAAAATAATGTTAATTAATATTTACGAATTTCATTGCCTTTGTTTTCGTATTGATAAAAATAAATTTATTTGTTTTTCAATTTTCTTTAGTTAATGAATAAAAAATAAAAAATTTATTCATTAAATGAAAATTAATTATTTTTGAATCAAAACTTTTTATTGGATATCAATTTAAATATTTGAATTTTGAATCATTAACATTTGGACATTTAAATGGTTTTAAAGTGAAAATTTAAATACTTCCCATTTTCTTGGGAAGCAATTTAATGATATTTTATTGAAAAATAATAAAAACTTACTACAATGTTTTCCAAATATTAGGGACATCAAATTTTAAAAAATTAAAATTGAACCAAAAAATTGAAAGAAACTTTCTTTTCAATTGTAAAACTCAATAAATGATCGCCATATTCTTTTCTCAAAGGCATGCGCATTCCCTGACCAAACACGTAATTGTGTGTGGTAACACATATTTTTATTGTGTAACTTTATTTATTTAAATTATAAATTAAATTTTCATTTAAATAATTTAAATTAATAAAAAATTAATTGAAAAACAAATTTTACGATATAATAATTAATAAATTTTGATAAAAAAGTTATTTAAAAATTATTAAAATATTTTTTAAACAATTGAAAGATATATTTTTTGCATAATGAATTAATTTTTTGCTTATTAAAATTGATTATCCGGATATTTATTGTTTTTTGAAAAAGAAAAGATTTTGCAAAAAATTTTAATTCTCCAAAAGTGATACTCTTTATTTTTCTTTTTTTGTATCATAAAGAGGAAACTGAATAAAAGTAGAGGGTCATATTTTTTTAATACTTTATTTGATATTGTTGTATTCAGACATGTTGGAAATTATAAAGAAGCTGCACATCAGAAATGAATCTAGTGAAACAACTTTTTTTTTTCGCATTATTAACAAGTGACTAGGTAGTGAGAACGCAGCCTCATCCTATTGTATTCTTTTTACAAAAAAAAAAAAAAAATACAAAATATAGAAACACAATGATATACAATGGGGGGAGAATATGTAATTACATCGTTGTTTAATACGGTATATCATATATTATGCCTAACCGCAGATTTAAATAAACGTATACACAATACATTTTGTTTTTCCTATTTACAATTTAATGTTTTGTTTTTCTTATTTGCTAAAAATCACTGTAGGTTCAATCTCTACAAAAGGAACAAAGTTTGAAGAAAGTAATTTTCCACTTTTTTTTTTTTATTTTAATCCAAATTGAAATATTAAAAAAAAAATTTTTTGACGAATATTATTCTTTCTGTTCACATAAAAATTAACTATTTGCAAGAAAAGAAAGGGACTATGATGCCCGAATAACACATTTTTTAAAATGTCAACATAAATATGTTAAGATAGGACTCTTGAATTTTAAGAGTCACATTTTCTCGATTAACGCCATTTAATACAACAATTCAACTAAAATACCATATATTATCGTAATGATAAGGACTCAATATGAGTCGTTGTACCGCTTTTTGTTTTTCTTTTTTTTTTTTAAATAATCTTATTTGGCCTTATCCGAAATCACTGAGAAAAATAATGCAAAGTCGCTTTCTTCATTTTTTTTTTTATGAATGAGATAATCGGATGATTTTCACATTTTTGTTCTTTAAAAAATATATATATATATTTACAGAAGAAAACATTTTTTTTTTCATTGTTTTGTGAAAACAAATTTAAAAAAAAAATTACACGACACTACAATTTTTAACAGTGAGGATTTAGCTATAAGATTTAAAGGCGAATGCGCTTTAGTTTTTTATTTTTATTTTTTTTTATTGCTATACACCTAATCACTGAGCGCGGAGCTGCCAAGAGATGCAAATGACAAAGAAGAAGAATAAAAGAAAGCCTATATGGAAAGGCAGCACCAAGGGCTCGTGTGTTTCTGGGTGTACATAATACTAATATTTTTTGTTTCTTTCTTTCGAAGTTTTTAGTCTCTTAACACTATAAAATCGAGTGTGTAAAAACGTACACAAAAGCTACGAGGTAACTCGTTTTGTCGTACACTTTACGTTTTTTTTTTTTTTGTTTTGTTTTTTTTTCAGTCTCATCAAGTTCTTCTTCTTTCTTTTTTTTGCGCCACGTCGTTCAGCGGAACATCAAGTTCAACGACTCCCGCAGGTTTATTCGTATTTTCTATTCGCGTATATACCGTTGACAAACACATTAATTCCGCCACTTATCGTGTATGCTAACTACACCGTTAAATACTCTTCTTAAAACTTGGTCAGGAACAGCTTCAATTTTTTTTATACAATCGCCTTCCCTCCTTATTATAATCTTCTTATTTAACGAAAGAGTTTGGACGGATAAACAGCAGAATTAGTGCATCTATTTTGCAAATAATTATATTTCCCTGATGATTCAAGGGAAGCAAAAAAAAGGCATTTTCTTGGTCGGTAATTTACAGAACGTGCTCGAAAATGACTGGAGAAAATATATTTCATCGGAAAATGTTAAAAAATGAGGTGTCTGACAAAAGGCACTCTTTTGAAAAATTGACAATATCGATGTAAAAGTGATATAGAATAAAAAAAAACGAATTACAAGCTATAAAAATTTAATTCTCCAGTCATGGTATTTTTCGTAAGGCACTCCTGTAGTCTTATGATATGTACTCGTTTCACATCTTTTTATTCGATCTCACAATTTCCCAATTTTTTTACACTAATTTCAGTAGAGAAATTCTCTTTAAAAAAAAAAATTAAATTCGTATCTAAAAATGAATGAAAATTAAAAAAAAAGAAAATTGCGATCTTTTTATTCGATTTCACAATTTCCCAATTTTTTTTTCACTTTAAAAATTGTTTTTTACACTAATTTCAGTAGAGAAATTCTCTTTAAAAAAAAAATTAAATTCGTATCTAAAAATGAATGAAAATTAAAAAAAAGGGAAATTGCTAGGCGCGACTGTATTTGACCAAGAGCCGTATACTCGAATTTCTAACCGAAGCGTAGAACTTATATTTTAATTACAAATACATCTCTTTTTCTTTCTTTTTTTTTTTTGCTTGCGCTGATTTACTTTTCATTGACAATGGTCGCTCTTTACTAAAAAAAACAACAATCACACACATACTCAAAAAAAAGGAGTCACGCACTCTAATTCATTCTCACAGCACATTCTTTGAAAATCTCTCGTCATTAATTATCTTACAATACAGGAAAGCATAGATTATCGAGTGGAAGGTTCACAGATATAGGCAAATGGCCCATTTTTTTTTTACGAGGTTGTCAATAGACATAGATGGTCTTTAATTGATCCTTGAGTTCAGGTGGAAACGCACATGAATCCGTTTCCGGTTTTCTTTTCACCAAACGACGCCAACGTCCCCCGAGATTTTTTCGGAAGCCCTTAGCAAATCCCTGCCTATCCGCCGAGAGCCCATGTACAAGTGTATCCTGAAATCAAAAAAAAAAGGAAAAAAATTAATATATTTCAAGGAAAAATATATTTAGACATTTTTTTTTAAATTTTCTTTTTAGATTGACAGAAAAAAGAACCAATTTTCTTTACGATCCTATATATAGAAATGGACTAAATATAAATACAAAAAGGCTAAAAATAAATATAGATCAATATTAATTTTTATAAGATCCTTGCGGGAATTGAATGATATTTATAGAAAGTAACTCTTTGTATGTACAAGGACTTTGAACCTTAATACAATATATGAGGGAGAGATTGAGTTTATAGGGTGGTATGAGGAGTGTGCTATATAGCATTATATGCTGAGTGAATGGCCTACATGAGGGTATAGCCCTCCTTTAGGGCAAGAGAGAGAGAGAGAGAGAGAGTAGTTCTCTGCACTGCAACATGTATATTATAGTACTGCAGTATAGTATCGGCCCCTCCCCCCCCCTTTTACTGGAGCGCCCTTTTTGTGATCGATAATACACCATATTCTCATTTTGGTCATTGAACCAAACGTCTAACTTGTTTTTTTTTCTCTCTACATTTGTAACGCACTCAAAAAGGGAACCAAGTAACAAACAATTATAGGTTATGTTTACAATACTCATTTTCTATAGACATGCCCTTAATTTGCTTTTTCATTTTCTTTTTTATAATATAAAAATGTCTAATTTAATTCGAATTAGTTCTAATTTTTAATTAAAATGTTTTTTTTCCCTATTTTCTCTAATTGAAACAGGTTATCTCTTTTACATTATATACTCTGTTTCAGGAGAGATCGATATTTTTCTGCGCATCTTGTTGTAAAAAAGAGTGTATTTTGAAGTGAAAAAGACGTTTTTTAGATTTTTTTCTGAAAAACATAGCCAATGATATGAAAAGGATTGCTTTTCCTATACCTAAAATCAAGCCAGCATATTTGAAATTTTTGTGACCTGGTCTTCAAAAAGGCAGTCGGAAGGGTCTTTTATGGTTTTATGGCTATTTTCATTGCAAAATTAAAAAAAATTGTTGGAATTTAAAAAAATAATTATATAAATATTATATTTGCAATGTACAGGTTAAAACAAGTATAAATTTTTATGTAAATACTATACGATTAGAGTTTGTACATATATGTAAATCATGCGAAATTGTATAATTTTTCCAAAAGCAAATTTTAATATTTAGACGTAAAAATTTTGTATCGTTGGAATCGTCAAAATCTGCAAATGGTAAATTTAATATTTAAAAAATTATTTCTTTGGATTTAAATATTTTTTTATTTTTGCAGCAAAGTGCCATAAAATCTAAACGACCCTTAAAATGGATAAAAAAAAAATTTAGTTGCCAATAGTTTCTTCAAATTTAAATGAAATTGAAAGAGAAAGCTTATTTGCGGAAACGGAAAATAATTTATAGTTTTTTGCGCGTAAAGGGCCCAAATTCGTCCTGAAAAATATCGATCTCTCCTGGAACAAAGTATAGGTGATTCTACAATGAAAAAAAATTCTAGTTAGAAAAACCAGAATTCTAGTTAGAATAACCAGAATTCTAGTTAGAATAACCAGAATTCTAGTTAGAATAACCAGAATTTAGAATAACCAGAATTTAGAATAACCAGAATTTAAAATAACCAGAATTTAAAATAACCAGAATTTAGAATAACCAGAATTTAGAATAACCAGAATTTAAAATAACCAGAATTTAGAATAACCAGAATTCTAGTTAGAATAACCAGAATTCTAGTTAGAATAACCAGAATTTAGAATAACCAGAATTCTAGTTAGAATAACCAGAATTCTAGTTAGAATAACCAGAATTTAGAATAACCAGAATTCTAGTTAGAATAACCAGAATTTAGAATAACCAGAATTTAAAATAACCAGAATTTAGAATAACCAGAATTCTAGTTAGAATAACCAGAATTCTAGTTAGAATAACCAGAATTTAGAATAACCAGAATTCTAGTTAGAATAACCAGAATTCTAGTTAGAATAACCAGAATTTAGAATAACCAGAATTCTAGTTAGAATAACCAGAATTCTAGTTAGAATAACCAGAATTCTAGTTAGAATAACCAGAATTCTAGTTAGAATAACCAGAATTTAGAATAACCAGAATTTAAAATAACCAGAATTTAGAATAACCAGAATTCTAGTTAGAATAACCAGAATTTAGAATAACCAGAATTCTAGTTAGAATAACCAGAATTCTGGTTAGGGTACATCTAACATTTTGATTCTGATTAGATTAACCAGAAATTCTGGTTATTTTAACGAGAATTCTAGTTAATTTAACTAGAATTCTGGTTAACATAACTAGAAAGTAATGTTAAATATAGCCTAACCAGAATTTTTTTTCAGTGTATATTCTATCAACAGCGAGTAGTTTATTTTTATTTCGAATTGAACTTGAGAAAGTTTTTTTTTTTTTTTGGGACAAGACACAAATTTGAAAGAGACGCATATAATGTTTCTAATTCGTTATTTTGTAATGATGTGAAAATAAAAGAAGTTGAGAGAAAAAGAAAGATAGAAGTAGGTATTGAACAATAGAAAAGTGGGCACAGTACCTAGAGAAATTGTGAAACTGTTATGGCTATAGATAATTTACAATCGTCAGGTCAGGATGGTAAAATCCTCTGAAGAAGAGAACGCTGACACCGGAAACGAAGGATGAAAAAAAAAGTATCCTGGAGGATCCCAGGGTCTGTAGGTGGGTAAACCTCATTTTTTTTGTCGAGACAGCTGTTGGTTGTCAGAATCAGAAGTAGGTATATAAAGCTGGCAACCAACCACTCTTCAAAACGCCCACCCGCATTAATTTTAGCGCCAAGCCGAAAATGACCTGGCACCTAAACTAGACTCTAGAAAACTCGAAACCTATTTTATATATATACTGAATAATAATAATAATAATAATAATAATTTTCTTTAGCCACTTCGATTAGAGCTAAATAGTTAATCTCATTATATATATAGGGTTGCATAACATTTGTCTGCTTTGAGTATTTATTACCAATATAAGGATAGAAAAACTAAATATATATTTTTCTAATTTTCTAATTTAAGGGGATGGACAGAAAATGATGATTAAGGGTATAATAACAAATTATTTATATTTATATACGGGAAAGTATATGAATAAACGATAAGTGGAGCGTGAAACGGTGAAACGATGTCACAACAGCGCCAAAGTGAGGACTCGGCAACGTTGCCGATTGTTTAGGATTTTTCTGGCGACAGAGTGCCTGAGCCTCGACCTTACAATTTACATTGCTTACGGCACGTTTACCTGATCTCGTCCGACTGGAAAGCACGCACTCTTTGACAATATATATATATACAATTATACAGCCAATGGGTATATTATATTGTATACATATACATGTCCTTGGTGAATCGATAGCAACTTGGTTGTTATCGACCATGTGTGCATGACAACGTGTTTCACATTCGTCTTTATCATTATATTATATTATTGTTAATTGACTAAAGAAACCTCCCTCTTAACAAATAGAAATGCAAAATCAATTTTTATTCTTTTCCAAAAGAAATAGGATACTTGGAAGCAGATTAGGATCAAAATCATGTGGAACGGGTCAGAAAGACCCTATTCTAATTCTGATCTAAATTCTGATCAAGGTTCATGAAAAATTTTCTGCAGCATAGTAAAAATCAAATTATTAGGAAATTTTTTTTTTTTTTTTAAATATCCAGCTAAATATGTAATTAGTAGCAAAGAACTTTGTTAGCCCCTGTATTAAACAATGTTTAGTTACGCCACTGTTCCCCCTTTCCAGACATAAAGTCCCCTCTTTCTCTAAAAAGTCTCATGGTTCCGCCCCTCAAACTATCAGTTCAAACAACCTCGTATATATGAAAGAGGTAGATTTTGACCTCATTTTTGGGGCCCTGATTCATAATTTTATAAAATTTTATACTATCTACAGTTCTGTGGGACAAAAAAAAAAAAAAACCATTGCTCCATGGAAAACAATTTCTAATTGTAACACAAAAAATTAAAATAAGCTGCAACGCTTATTATTTTAATCCAATTTTTGCTTATTTTAATACCGAAATTGGATTAAAATAATAGCAGCTTATTTTAATGCCTTTTTTATTTCCTGTGAAGTAATCAATCAGTAAATTGGAAAATATTGGAAATTTTAAGGATTCACGTTAGTTTAATCAATTTTTTTCTTAAAGAATATTTATTTTTTAGGGTCCTTTAGAATTATTAGACGATACTGAGGTCAATGATCGAAGGGTAAGTAACCTTGCCGAAAATTGACGATTACACAGCTGGCAACTAGTTGCTGACTAACTTTGCAGAAAATACTAGTTTTTTAAAGGGAGCAGATGAATTGGCTGTATATATAGTGTGTTGTATTCAGAATTGATCATAGTTTATAGAAATAAAATATAAGGTAGAGATATATATATATATATATAAAAGGGGAAACTTGAGAGTAATGAAACTGAAATATTGAATAAATTAAACTGTTTCAATATTAAAGATGACGAGGTCTTCGATTATTATGATACAGATGTTTCCAATTAAAATATCCAACCTGACATTTTACAGCCATCTCGAATTACAATATGATTGAAACATATATATATATCTATATTTTCCAGCAGCTGTTGTTTCTAGTTTAAATAACTAATAATCACATAATATGTATATATTTTTCTATTCTCAAATTATCTTACATTGAATATTAATTATTCCCAGTTACTTTTTATCCTCACATCAATTAGAACAAATTTATCAATTTTTATATGATTTTTATTTTAGAAATAAAATCAGTGATTTGATTCGATTTTATGATATTTAGCTGCAATATTCCTTTTTTGCAGAAACATAATATCTTTAAAGCAAAGGTTATATCTCTATTAATGAAAGAATTATCAAAAAAAGAAAGATAAAATGATCTCTTTGATATAATCTCGTCATAATACCTTCTCATTATCATATATATATGCTTTAGTAAATCATGATTTAATTCAAAGTACAAAAGTCCATAATATTAATTTATTCTTTAATTCGTAATTTATTATTAACATTGAAATGAAACATTGACTTTTAGAAAAACATATATATAGAAATAAGTGTGAGAATAAACTATATATAATTATAATTTATCATATATTCTTTTTTAAATCCATAGATAAGATGTTCATATATATAATCTTAGTGAAATTTTAATTTTTCGGAGCAAATTTCACTGATTAAAAAGTTGTCCTCTAGGAGGTCCGGTTCATGATCAAATTCGTTACATCCGCCTCAATATTCGACTGACATAAACTGTTAGTCTGACACATTTTTTTTTTTTACTAGTATTTAATCGAACGTTTAAATTTAAATTCAGTGAACGTTATAGTTTATATATATATATATATATATATATATATATAGCTTTAACAATAGATGTGGCAATGAATAAAAAAAAGTAACTGTAATAATATTTAAAACATTTTTAAGAGAGAAAATTTCTTATCAGCATTATTAATTAATAATTATATCATTAATTAATAAAAATTTAATATTTATGCAAAACTCACAAAAAGACTATATCACTAAATAAAATTTCAATTCGTGATGTAATTTGTTTGTGCCCACGTTGTTTAACGTTGCTAATCGCTGTTACACATGAAATATTTTTATATATATATATGTTTCAGACTTATATGTATATTTATATATAAATAACTATTAACCTTATTACTCAATTTTGCGCAAAAGAAATTCCCCTTTTGTCATTAAAATGGAGTTTAATTTAAATTTATATAACAATTTACTGTTGTACTTTGAAATTAAAACTATAGAATGTTTAAAATATTAAAGAAAAAAAGAAAATATAGAAACAGAGGTAAACTTTTTTCGAAGTTTCAAATAAATTACATAAATATATACACGAAATTTTCGTATATTTTATATATCTTTTTTTTCAATAAGTGTTAAGAAAAAAAGTCCCTTTCTTTAAACATTAAATGAATATTATCAAAGTTCTTTCGCATTTTTTTTTTTTTTTTTTTTTCAAAGACATAAATTCTATCTTCAAATCCTATATAAAGTAAAAAAATTGATTTGTGATTATAAAATAAAAATAAAAGAATAATATTCATAAATGACAAACCAACAAATCTATATAATATGAAACTTTTAGGGAAATATATAAAATGAAACTTGGCAGCATTGTAAAATAGTTGCAAAGTCCATTGCAAAATATTTTAAATTCTTTAATGTATATATTAAAACTTTTTAAAGAAAGTTGCGAGAAAGAAAAAAAAACAAATATTTATGGAATGTATTCATTATAATGTGAATAAAGAAATATTTCATTCAATTTCTCTCAATAATACATATAATATATATATATATATATATACAAAACATTCCTTGATATGATCTCTGAATCATGCAATAATTTCAACAAAAAAAAAAACCAGTACTTTTGTTTTGCAATAATGACAATGCTTTTGCGTGCTTATCCTTGATTTATTCTTTTTTGAATGTTATAGCTACAATATTTTTCAATTCTTTGTTTAAATAATTATTTTATTATTATACATTTTATTTTTAATACAGAAAGTATTTAAAACAAATGATGTATTTAATTAACTCAGATAATTATTGTTTGATACAAACAAATTGTGTTTTTTTTTATTATTATTATCTAATTTTTTTTTACTATTGTTGCTATATTTTTACTATCATTGGAATATTTTTACTATTATTGGCATATTTTTACAATTGTTGTTGTATTTTTACTATTGTTGCTATATTTTACTATCATTGGCAAATTTTTACTATTGCTATATTTTTACTATTATTGGCATATTTTTACTATTTTTGTTGTATTTTTACTATTGTTGCTATTTTTTTACTATCATTGGAATACTTTTACTATTATTGGCATATTTTTACAATTGTTGTATTTTTACTATTGTTGTTATATTTTTACTATTGTTGGCATATTTTTATTATTGTTGCTATACTTTTACTATCATTGGTATATTTTTACTATTGATATATTTTTACTATTATTGGCATATTTTTACTATTTTTGTTGTATTTTTACTATTGTTGATATATTTTACTATCATTGGCATATTTTTACTATTGCTATATTTTTACTATTGTTGCTATATTTTTACTATCATTGGCATATTTTTACTTTTGCTATATTTTTACTATTATTGGCATATTTTTAATATTTTTGTTGTATTTTTACTATTGTTGGCATATTTTTACTATTTTTGTTGTATTTTTACTATTGTTGATATATTTTACTATCATTGGCATATTTTTACTATTGCTATATTTTTACTATTGTTGCTATATTTTTACTATCATTGGCATATTTTTACTTTTGCTATATTTTTACTATTATTGGCATATTTTTAATATTTTTGTTGTATTTTTACTATTGTTGGCATATTTTTACTATTTTTGTTGTATTTTTACTATTAATGGCATATTTTTACAATTGTTGCTGTATTTTTACTATCATTGGCATATTTTTACTATTGCTATATTTTTACTATTGTTGCTACATTCTTCATTATTATTATATTTTTATTATTGTTGCTATATTCTTTATTATTGTTGGCATATTATTATTCGTTATTATTGTTATTATTTATTATATCATAAAGTCTTTAAACAAAAATAATAACAAATATTTCCTCACAAGGTACAAATAAAACTCATAATCTCGTTTAAAAGTAAAACATTTTCCTGAACGAACAAAATATTTCAACAAAAACATTATAAAATTATTAACTGTATATTATATATATTTTGTTGTTATGATAAAAATATTAATTACTAATTTTAATTTCAATAATTGTCGTTACAATACAAAATCTTTAGGTCAAAAATCAAAACAAAATATATAGAATTTCCCCCAAAACATTAAAGAAAATTTTTTCAAAATTTCATTTCTTTTTATAAAAATGATACCACATGAAGCATTCTAAAGAACATTATTGCTTGCATTATTGGTAGCATTAATATAAAATTAAAAACTAATAAAACAAAAAATTTGTAACAAATCTCACCTGGTCATTGTACAGTGTATACTGTGGTGGCGGTGTATTAAGCGGTGGATATGGTGGTGGAAATTGCCAAATAAATTGATCAGCATTGGCTGTGTTTGTTGTGAAAATTGAATCAGATTCCACAATATTGTTATTATCCATTGTGACAATTGCCGTTGTTGTTGTTGTTGTTAAAACTGTTGTTTGTGCACAGCAACCATCAACAGGACTTGACGACGATGTTGTCGTCGTTGTTGTTGTTGTTGAAACAACATTATTATTTCCAGGTGTTGTTGCCGTTTGTACAACAGGTTCAGGATGTTGAGCATTGGCATGATCCTCCCTCTTCCGCAACTTACTACGGACAAGGCGAATCGCAATCATGGTCCCGTTGCTTCCAACCATCTTCTTGTACTTAATGTACAACCTCGTGAGCTTCTTTGCTACGTTGGTAGGAATTTTCAGGCTGTTTTATAGCGAATTCTCGAACAATGTCGAGAACTCTTTACAGTCAGAAGAAAAAAAATCCAAAAAATTGAAAAAAAAAATATTCCCAAAAAGGGAATAAAATTTAATTAAATTAGAAAAGTCAAGATTTTCAAAATTTTTCTTTCAAAAAAATATATCCATCACACATCAAAATTCCTGAGAGAATCAAACGAGCACTGACTAAACTTGTAACTAGTTTTTCCACTCTTGTTTTTGGTAATTGTAATAATAATAATAATAATAATAAATATTTATTTACACTTTATACAGTCACACGCTAATGACGCGGCACCATTTAAACTTGACTAGTTTATAGATCCTTGGTTGTCAGAATTATTGATTGAATTTTTTAATTAACAACTTAAGGGAAGTTTTAAACAAAAAAACTGCCAATTAGTTGTAAACTCTCACTATTTAAAGAGACTAAGTGAATAGAGGTGAAGAGAATAACTCTCTCTCTACCTACTAGCCTCGCTCATTTCTCAAGAGCTCAAACTGTGGGTCTGAACTCGAAACTGGCGCTCGGAGCTTTTATATAGTCGTGTTTTGACGTCACAGACGCGTGCCACGCCGATTGGATGGCGCGAGCCGCGACCAACATAAGCGCCACGAGGATTCCCAAGAAAAACGTTCGTCAAAAGCTTTCCCCACCCCCCTTAGAAAATTGAGGAAGAACTTTCCTGCAAATTTAAAGTTTCCCCGCTTTTTAAAATGCGAGTGGATTTACCGAAAAAGCCCCGTTTTTTTTTAAAATAAACATTATATATTTTCATTGATCGTAACACTTTTCAAACCATGCTACTATCAGTGCAAACAACCCCTTTATATATGTATAGAGAGAGAAAGAGAGAGAGAAAAGGTGAAATTTATTTTAATTTTTATTAGCCCTTTGTATTTTATCGACCTAATGAATTTTTAAACACGAAAAATAAAGAGGGTTTTATTAAGGGGAGTCACAACCTTCATTTTGAATCCTTTACATTTTCATTATCGTAGAAAGATATTTTTTTTTCTTGCATCATTTGAGTACTAAAAACATACATGATGGTGAAAAAAATAAAATTTTTGACCATTTTAGAAATTATTTTGTTAAAAAAATTAATATTTTAAATATCTATCTATCTTCTTTCTCAATTTTAAGTATTTTTTATCGCCAATTTTTTTCCACACATTTTTAATAATTCTTTAAAATCTCTCGCATGGATTTTCAAAAATATTAATTTTTTTAAAAATTCTAAAATGGTCAAAAAATACAATTTTCTTTTTTTTCACTACCTTATATATGTTTTTAGGGCCCAAATGATGCGAGAAAAAAAAATATATAACCTCGTTTAATAATTTAAATTTAAGTGGGTCAAAATAAAGATTGTGACTCCCCTTAATTTGATTTTAGAAAATTTTTATTTAGAAAAATAATATGAATTTTTTTTTTTTTGCAAATTTGAATTTTTGAAACAAATTGAAATTCAATTTATAATGAAAATCTATTTTAAAAAAATTGATACTGGCGAAAAATTGAATATAATAAAGAGTATAAATATTATTCAAAATGCCAAAGTTAAAAACTAATATTTCACATGACGTAAGAATCGTTAAATCAGCATTTTAACGATTTTTAACGTAGTTTATATATTTAAAAATACAATTTTTTTTTCTCGACATGTCAATGATTGACGACATAGAAAATTGGTATATTCTAAAAATGTAAAAAAAAAAACGTCACAATTGTTTATATTTCATAAACAATTTGTAACATAATATTTTCAATAACACGATTACTTTTTATGTAAATTTTACTAACAAACATTTTATATTTTCCATTACACTATTTACATACATTATTATTCATTTTATATTTATTTCTTTTTAAAATTTTCTATTATTCAAATATTGTGTTTTTTTTATTAATTTGAAATTAATTTTTTTTTAATATTTACTATTAACTATTATATTTTAATGCTTTTTAGTATTTTCAATTAATGTTTTTCTTTATTTTTTCATATATATGCATTTTATTTGTTTTCACTAAGCTATAATATATAATATTAAAAATGTGTAAAATGCAATTAAGATTATACAAGGAACTTAATAAAAATAAATAAATAAGCAACAAATATACGTAACGTGAAAACAAATTATTTTTAAATAAATGTGTATATAGTTTAAAAAGAATGAAAAATGACAAGGAAAAGATCGATGCAACAAGTACATAAATGTATATATATATATTTGCGATTCGTTGGAGAATTTTCGAGAAAATAATTTGTGATAAATAAGTGAAATACGTCTTATATTCCGAGACAAACGCGAATGACGTATTTTATATAATTTTATTTCATTGATCAACCTATATAATTTTGAAATCCTTCATTGTAAATTACACCCTTTATTCGCAAAAAGCAATAACCGGAAAGTAGACGTCATGTACATAATAAGTATTCTGATGCTAATATTCATCTCTCTCATTTTCTCTTGAGATATACATATAGTTTAATTCTCAGAAAGGAAAATCATTTTCTAAGAGCTTTACTCCAAGAAGGAATACAATTTAATTTGAATGGATCGCGAAAGAAAAATGAGTAAACAATGTTTATAAAGAAATTTATAGAATATTAAATTTAAAAAAAAAATCTAAAAGCAAACAATTTAAAAAAAAAAAAATTTTTTTCTTAAATATTAAAAATATTTAAAAATATTAAAATAGAAAAAAAAATAATCATTTTTAAAAAAAAAACAATGCTTTCAATTTCCCATTGTAAAATTAACAAATCGAATATTGTATTTACTTTCCCAGAGAATTGAATCAATTTTTTTTTTATTCATTAATAAATATCTAAATACACCAGAAATGTTTATAATATATAAACTACGTTTTATATTTTAGTTTATGTTAATTTTCAAAAAACAAGTTGTTTACTCTGACTCGAATATTATTCTATACATTTCTACGCCATCGGACTGTATTTTTCTTCAAACTTAAGAAACACTTGCGAGTGCGCTTCTTTTTTTTTTTTTTTTTTCTTATTTACTCTAATATAGATACAATTTACTTTTTTATGCCATTGACGCCAATTTTGATATAGATAAGCAAATGATTATTATTCATATATTATTGTCTCTTTATGTTCATTATCAAGAAGAAAAAGAAGAAAAAAAAATAAAAGAAAAACAAAACACAAACGTTCATTTTAACAAATTCAACAGGTGTTTAAGAATTTTTAAAAAATTAATAATCAACATAATATAATTATAAATGCATATCATGCGTAAAAGGAATGAGCGATTCTTCGTGTGACCTAGTGTCTAGGCACACCAAGGCTTGCAAAAAAAAAAAAAAAAATAAAAACTTCCTTATGTTTTTTTCATTGACACTGTATTAATAAAATTTAAATTATTCTTTTTAAGTGATTATCATTAAAAAGTATAATTAATTTTATAAAAATTATTACATTATAATTGTTTTATTCAATAAATTTTAATTAAATACTTAAAAAAAAAAAATAAAAGATAATTAATTTTGAGTGTAAAATATTTTGTTTCAAGGCAAAATATTCATTCAAAATGATAATTACCGGGAAAAAACAGATTTTAATCTAAAATGAGAATACTTAATAATTAAATATATTATTTTTTAAATTGACAGGAAATGACACATATATAAAAAAAAAAAAATTTTCATTGAAGATGACTGAGTACGCTATCAGAATACACTATCAACAATCATTTCTATTTTAAACTTCTATAATTCGTTATCAATATTTTCTATAGAGTAAAATGAATGAAATGCAATATGAATTATTTATGAATTAATTTTGAAAAATAAAAATTCTCAATACAATTTTAAAAAAAATTGCAAATTAAATAAAATAAATTACAAAAAAAAGTACAAATTACATAAAAATACAAATAAATTTTCAAAAAAAAGAAATTTTTTAAATTCCAATCAGTTTTGGTAATGGTTTGTTTATGAAGTGAATTCACATGACTTTTGAAACAGTGTTTCATTGGAGAATTTAACCTATGATGACTTTCCTTATTCGCCAGACGTTCTTTGTATATATATATATATATACTTTTTATTCTCACGAAATTTTAACTTACTTGATGTGGCTAATAGAAATATATGCGAAAACAAATCCATAAAAATTCAATAAAATTTCTTTTTCGGAAGGTTAGAATAATTTTCATCAGACAAAAATTTGTCTGCACTACAAAATACAGAAAAAAAAATAATAAAAAATTATTTTCAATTACTGCTTTATTATTAAATAATTAATTTAAATTGAAAAACACATATATATATATATATTGATCACTAATTTATACTTAAAATCGTTACGTATAAAGTAAATTGTAGACAAACCTTGAAAAAAGTTAAGGACAAGTAATGTGTATGACATAATAGGCAAGAATCGAATACACTCTTGACATTCAACTGGTTATTGGAAACGATCCATTTAAATAATTTCTTGTATAATTACAGCTGATATTTAAATCGGAGCACACTATGTTTCAAGAATCATTACAAAAAAAAAAACAAAAAACAAATTTCAATTCAATGAAGAAATACTATTATAAAATAAAAAATTTAATTTTTAATACAAAAAATTAAAAAAAAAGATTCAGATTTAATCGTAAAAAATTTAATTTTATTAAATTAGTAACAAATAATTAATAACTTATCGTAAAATTTATCTCAATAATACAATTGTAAAAGCTAAATTAATTTGATGTCACGATTTCAGAGAAAATTAATGAATACGAATCTTTTAATTTTTCACCTGATAAATATTATCAGTGACAGGTGTTTAAAAACGTATATATGAATCACACATAGCCAATTAATATTATTATAAATTGATATAATCACAAAATATTCAATGAAAACGCGAGTCATTTTTTTCTCTCTAAGTCTCTCTTTTCTCTTTCTCTCTATAGAAAAACATTTAAATTAAATAATTTTTTGTTCATAAATTTATATGAAAAAAAAATGAATTAAAAATAATTTTCTTAAAAAAATAAGATTGTATTTTACTGTAAATTTTTATTTTTTTTGGTTTAAAAAACAATTATAGAAATTCTTTAAATATTATTCAAATTATTTGTTGTCAATCACGCGGACGGCAAATGTTCACACCTTTTAATTCCTTATTATCTTAAAAGTGATTTTCATTTAATTCTAAGGTCAATGATTAAGAAGGGATATTAATGAGTTCCTGGTTTTTTTTTTTTTTTTTAAATCTTTTATATACACGCAGTGTCCAAGGCAAAAAAAGAAGCAAAAACTATCAATTGAAAACCATATTACATGTAATTAGATTCTTAAAAGGATTGATTGAAAATTTATATCCTTCCTAGATTATTTAAAAGGATAAATATACAAATTGAAGGATAAAATATCAATTTCAATTAAAAAAGTATAATAAAAAAAATTAATTCAAAAAAATTATAACGATTTCATAATTATTTTATAATGATTATCTCAATAGTGATAAGCAAAATTTCGTGCTCTTAACTTTTATATTATGTTCAAAAAAAACTTTTTTTTTTTTTTTTAAATCTCTTTCACCCTGAATATTTACTTTTTCCTTGTACACGTCTTTCAAAATATATAATTAAAATTTCCACATTTTTACGACGAATATAAATATAGTTTTTAATTTCATAAAGAGGAATATCGCTTGCGTTTAATTAGCATAATAACCTTTCCTCCTCAGTGCTCGTTTGATTCAATAACTTAATTATATTAAAAGTTAGATATTTCTAAATTTATATTATACCTTTGCAAGTAAGCTCACGAAGCTGTAAAAATTGTCTAATTGTAATAATAAAAAAAAAACAAAGCATAAGAATAGAAAAAATTTCAAAATAAAAATATTTTATTAGAATTTTTTATTATATTCAAAAAACTATTTTTACAAAAATATTCGTGCGACAAGGATATGAAAATTAAATTTTATATTTTTTTTATTCTTATGTTTGTTGTATACACAGTGTAAAAAATAGTCTTGAAGTATATTTTAAATTAGAAAAATAGTTAAAATGAAATTATTTTTAGAAAATTATAACATTTGTAGTTTAAACTAATTTCGACAAGTTAAAACAAATTTTAGTGAAAACAAGACTTTTTTTTACAGTGGAATTTTATAAATTTTTTACTAATTTAAAATATTTTTTTTTTTTCTGAAGTCACTTACCTGATAGTAACGGCCAAGAGTACAATAATGACTCCAACTAACACCATCGCTATCACGACGCCACATAGCATATAAACGCTCTCCGATGGAGGTACTGAAATAAAAAACCAAAAAATAAAAAATTATCATCCCTTAAAATATTTCAAAACAAAAAATTATAACTAATACAATATTATAAAAAATTATATTTATTTTTCACAAGCAAAATTATTATTCGCCAATTTTTTTTTTATCCCAAAATAATTTTTTTTTTTTTAATACTACCAAATATTTATTATTACATTTATTGTAAAATGTAAACTAAAAAATTTTTATACAAAGCACAAAGATATATATATATATATTTTATTTTTATATATATAGCTTTTCTATTGCAAATGAGAAATTTTAACCTTGGCAAAAACAGTTATAGTTGTGTGGCAATTTTCTTAAAGAGCATACATTCCAGATTCAATTAGTGTACAATGTGTGACATAGTTATATACCAGCTGTCTACTTTTGCAAATTCCTTTCATGTTTTAATAAATATCAAGAGCCAAAAATCAACATTTAATTTAACAAATTTAGAAAAGTCACTAATTTAATCTAATTTACATTTTTCCTGAAATAATATAAAAATAGAAAAAAAAAAGTTTAGGTCAAAAACAATTTAATTTATATTAATTAACTAATTAACTAATTAAATAATTAAGTAATTAAATAATTAATATTTGACACTAATATAATAATTAAAAAATTATTATATCAAAAATAATAGAAAAATGATTTCGTTTACAATTATAAATTATCAGTAATCCCAATAATGACACTCTACGCGTAAAATCAACTTTATCCGGGAACTCATATATATATAATTAGCATATAGACATTTGTTGGTATAAAAGATAAAGCAACACGTTGTAGATCAATCGCACATTGAGAAGGGAAATCCAAACGGGGAATTTCGAAACAATATATAAACACGATTTGTTACAAAAACTATATATCTTTATACGGAAGTGTTTTTCAGACGTGAAACAAAATTTGTAATTCATTAATTTTTTTTTCCACATGTGGATAAATGTGTGTTTAAAAAAAATAGTCGTAAAATAAAATCAACAGTTTTTTTTTTACATAAGTTTATATAAATTAATTCATTTCCAAGATATTGATAAATTTTCATAATTCCCCCAAATTTAATCATAAATTTATTCCAGTAAAAAAAAAAATTCTGGGGAAATTTCAATTTTTTTTAATATTAAGAATCATTGGAAAAAAAATCACATGTTCCTTTTATGTTTTTTTATTAATTTTTCTCAGTTTTTGTTTCATCAGAATTTTCGCATAAATTTGAATTACTTGTAAAACAAGTGTTTATAAATATGAATATAAAAATTTTTTAAAATAAATGAATTTAAAATTTTACATGTCTGGATATTAATTTAGATGGAAATTTCGTTTTTTTTTTTTTTTTCTTTTTGGTGCTGCATCATTTAGTGAAGGATGCAAGGTAGCATTTTCGCATATTACACACGTGAACGAGTACCAGTCACGCTTGAATACATATAGATATACATTTTGAATCATGCAAGCAAGGCGTGCAACAAGAATGAGCAATCTACCTCCTATCGCTTTAGATTTGTTGAACATGCGACAAAATCGAGGACGCAAAACATTTTTTATTTCAAATTTTCTAATTTCTAAATTTTAAATTTAATTTTAACTTCCTTATATAAGTGAAAAAAAACAACTAAAATTAAATTAATTTCCCAATATTGTTTCCTATATTAAATAAAAATTTTCATTCTTAAAAGAAAAAAAAAAAGAAAAATTTTATTTAAAAAAAAAAATTAGCCCATTTCCTTAAAAAAAAAAAACGATATATTACGTATTGACTTTTGATCTTTCAATTGGCGTGTGCAAACTCTCTTTTTCTTTCACAAGCACTCTACTTTCCTTACGAACCCTCTTTGGTCTTGACATAATATCGTGATTCAAGCGTCCATGTCCCACATACAAGATGACAACCAATGGTGACTAAGAAAGTTTTTTCCCCAGATTCACTTCGATTAATAATTTATACATCTAAAAAGCTTCAATTATCATTGAATTTTGTCATTATAAATTCAAATTTCTATTTCTTTTAAAGAAAGATAAACGTAATTTATTTTAAAAAGTTAAATTTCTTTTTAAATTATTTTTCTGCACTATCATATTGCAAAAAAAAAAAAGAATTAATACAGTAATTAGATATTTCTCATATATCGAATAACTTCGATTTTGATTTCACTTATGTGCTGAACAAGATTTTAGTCATCCTCTCTTATGTTGAATATTAAACCTAAACCTCTATTAGAAAAGTAAAATTAAAAACAATTCTTAAACCAAGAAAATATTCTATAAAGAACAAAAGAAAAATATTTACCAAGAATTCGTTTCTTATTTTAAATATATATATATTTATATTTTAACTATGAGAATAAAACGCAGACGATTTATAAATAGAAACCAAGAAACTATATATATTTTAAAAATATCAATTTTTGCCATCAGCAGAAAGAACTTTTTTTCTTAAAAATATATATGTTTCTCATATTTTTCTCTTACTTCCTGAAAACTGTCTTTCTTTATACACGCAATTTTTTTTTAAACTCTCTTTATTACTTACAAAAATGTTTTCTCAAAAATCGTTCTTTAAAAGCTTTTCTTTTATTTCGCCAAAATCACGAAATAAAGAGAAGCTTTTAAAGAATGATTTTTTAGGTATTCTACGCGTGTAAAATTTTCGAAAATACTGAAAAAAAACATTTTCATAAAAAAAACTGTTATAATTCTCACATTTCAAAATTCAAAAAATTCGCAAATTATTTTTAGCAATCATGAAACATAGTCTAGAATTTATTACATTCTATTTATATAACTCATATATGAATTCATATATAAAACTAGTTTCCCTAAAATAAGTGGGATATTTGTTTACATTATCGAAAGTTCTTGAGTATGCAAATTTTATATGCTAAAATAAAACTAGCATTACATGTGACCAACAATATATATATATATATATATGTATATAGTATATATAATCAACCTACGTCATTGTGATTCCCATGAAAGATTCAAATTTTCAAAGTATCAGAAAAATTGTTTCGGCAAACCAAGAATATGAAAATTTATAACTTTAAACAAAAAAATATTTTTCATCTAAAGATCATAAAAATGTTAATATAAAGATTGAATTTTGCCGAAATCTTAATCGCATTTAACGCAAAATTCAAAAATAGATTAAACCTCACGAGCCAAATCATGCTTTGTGTGTGAATAAATTTAAAACTAATCACCTGCTTTTGTCGAAAATCGATCGTCACTTGAAACGAAATTTTCATATAAAAATACAAATTTTTTGTTGTTGTTGTATTTTAAAAATCTTTTTCAATAATCCAGTAATAATGTGAAATTTTCTTTTTAACTCAACACAGAAATATTTATATATCAATTTGAAAAATCGCGATATTAATAAAGATTGTTTGGGTGAAGCCAAAGATTTACAGATAAGAAAACATGCCAAAGCAACGTGTATACGTGTAAATATAGCGATTGCGGAAGTTCATTCGAAGAATCTGTTCAGTTGACGTGATATTTTCTTTAAGTATTGGCGAAAGTATACCCAGTATACATGGTGCGTTAACTCCTACACGAGCTTTTTGTGAAATTATTAAAATTTAATATATATATATATATATATATATATATATGTTTAAAGGTCAGTAAACGAGAGTCGATAATAAAGCGATAGAGAGAACTCCACGATTCTCACCAGAAGGCAATCTTATCTTTTCTCGAATTAGTATTTGTTATACTATATACATATAATATATTCCGATTATAGATTCTTTAATCTAACACTATATTATATTCTTCCGGTTGAATCATATACTTTCTTTAATAAAATTACGAATTAAATAAACAATCAGACTTGGCGTGATTTATAAAAATTTGCACTCCGAACGTTAGTGAATAAGAAGACGGAACTTATAAGGATTAGGAAAAGGAACTTGATGATTTATTAAAACCTAATGATTGAGAAGAACCTAATGATGAAGAAGAACTTAATGATTAATAAGCAGAACTTAAAGATTAATCGGCAGAAATTATTGTTACAGATTAAGAAGATGAAGAACTTAAAGATTACTAAGTAGAACTTAATACAGAAGCAGAACCTAATGATTAATAATCAGAATTTAAAGATTAATCGGCAGAACTTACTGTTACAGATTAAGAAGATGAAGAACTTAAAGATTAATTAGCAGTACTTAATGCAGAAGCAGAACATAATGATTAATAAGTAGAACTTAAAGATTAATCGGCAGAACTTATTGTCACAGATTAAGAAACTGAAGAACTTAATGATTACTAAGTAGAACTTAAAGATTCATCGGCAGAACTTATTGTTACAGATTAAGAAGATGAAGAACTTAAAGATTAATCAGCAGAACTTAATGTAGAAGCAGAACCTAATGATTAATAAGCAGAACTTAAAGATTAATCGGCAGAACTTAATGCAGAACCTAATGATTAATAAGCAGAACTTAAAGATTAATCGGCAGAACTTATGGTTACAGATTAAGAAGATTACTAAGTAGAACTTAATGCAGAAGCAGAACCTAATGATTAATAAGCAGAACTTAAAGATTAATCGGCAGAACTTATTGTTACAGATTAAGAAGATGAAGAACTTAAAGGTTAATCAGCAGAACTTTAAGATTACTTAAAGATTACTAAGTAGAACTTAATGCAGAAGCAGAACCTAATGATTAATAAGCAGAACTTAAAGATTAATCGGCAGAACTTATTGTTACAGATTAAGAAGATGAAGAACTTAAAGATTAATCAGCAGAACTTAATGCAGAAGCAGAACCTAATGATTAATAAGCAGAACTTAAAGATTAATCAGCAGAACTTAATGCAGAACCTAATGATTAACAAGCAGAACTTAAAGATTAATCAGCAGAACTTAATGCAGAAACAGAACCTAATGATTAATAAGCAGAACTTAAAGATTAATCGACAGAACTTATTGTCACAGATTAAGAAACTGAAGAACCGAAAAATTAT